TGTTGCAATGAACACGGGTGTGCATATGTCTGTTCTTGTCATGGCTCTCACTTCTTTAGGATATATACCTAGTAATGAAATAGCTGGGTCAAATGGTATTTCTAGTTACAACTTTTGAAGGAATCACCATACTGCTTTCCACAATGGTTGTACCATTTTACAGTCCCACCAGCAGTGTATGAGAGTCCCAGTCTCTCCATATCCTCACCAGCATTTGTTATTTTCTGTCTGGTTGAACTTTGCTCCTAGTGCTAGGGCAAGATGATGTCTCATTGTTGTTTTGATTTGCATCTCTCTAATGGCTAATGATCGTGAGCATTTCTTCGTTTATTGGCCGCCTGAATATTCTCTTTGATGAAGTGTCTATTCAATGTCTTCTGCCCATTTTTTAATTGGATTGTTTGTCTGTTTGTTGTTGAGGTTGGTTGTACTGCAGTTTGTTTAACCAATCGAGGGGCATTTTGCCACTTTTTAGTCTATTACAAATAAGGCTCTTGTGAATACTCATGTATGAGTTTTTGTGAAGACCTAAATTTTCATTTCTCTGGGATAAATACCCAAGAGTGCAATATTGGATTGGATTGTAAGTGTACCTTTAGTGTTTTCAAGAAACTATCCAACTACTTTCTGTAGTGGTGGTTTTTTAGGGCTGTGGACTCTGCTGCCACCTAGTGGCTTCCTGGAGCCACGTCCCCCTTTGGGAACTGTGGAGAAGTGTGTGGTGGGAGTGGTAGTGGAGTAGAGGTGTGATGGGAGCCAGGAGCCCAAGATCCTATTCATCTATCTTCCCTCCATACACCCATACACCGTGAGGCCCCAGGGGCCCAGGCTGACCCCTGTTCTACTTGTGTCTGCAGACAGCAGCCTCGGTCGTGTCGCCAGGCCTGGTGGTGGCACCCGTGTCGGGGAACAGCCTGGGCACACGGCGTGCAGAGATCAAGCCCGGGGTGCATGAGATCCACCTTTGCAAGGACGAGCGGGGCAAGACTGGCCTGCGGTTGCGGGCCATCAACGAGGTACAGCGGGGCTGGGGGGAAAAGGGTTTGCAGGGCCAGTGCGTCGCGGTGCACAGTGCCTGCAGCCCGAGCGGGACACACACCTCGCACAGTTGCCCAGCAGCACAGTCACAGTTTCCCAGAGGAAACTGTGAGCTTGGGAAGTGTGGGGGTGGGATGTCTTCCCTCTTCCCCTCCTGAGCTCGGGGACAGCGGCCTGGCTCCATCCACAGGAAGGTGCCAATTGGGAACCCAAAGCGAGGCTCTCCTGACCCCCAAGCCCAGGTTCTTCCTCTCAACCTCCACTGCCCGCAAGGCCTCAGCGTGCTGCTGGGTTGCAGCAGGGACCTTTCTCCTGCCTTTCGGTGGACTCCTGTAGCTCAGAGCTTCCCCCCTTCCAGCAATTCACAGGCATGCGGCAACCAGCTTCTATAGAAAGTACAAAGCAGGCCCAACTGGACGCCTTGGTGAGTGTAGTGGTTACAGGTGCAGCCTCCAGTAGTGGAAACCAGGACACAGGCCTCCTAGCGGTATGGCCGGGAGTGTTTCCTTTTCAGCAAACTGTGGTCATTGCCGTGGGACCTGCAGTGAAGAGCTGTAGCCTTGGTACCCTGTAAGCCCCGAGAGTATGAGGAGAAAAAAGACAGCTGGAGGATGGATGGGGGGCAGGTCTGGGACAGGGTGAACGGACTCAGGGCCTGTCTCCCCCAGGGCCTGTTTGTGCAGCTGGTCCAGGCCAACACCCCTGCGTCCCTCGTGGGGCTGCGCTTCGGAGACCAGATCCTGCAAATCGACGGGCGTGACTGTGCCGGCTGGAGCACAGACAAAGCCCACCGGGTGGTGAAGAAGGCGTCGGCTGAGAAGATCGTCATGATCATTCGGGACAGGTGAGCAGCCAGGCCCCCGGGGCCTCTCTGTCCAACCCTGACTCAGGCCCTGTGCGCAGGCCCAGCTCACTGTCCCTCCCCACCAGGCCCTTCCAGCGGACTGTTGTCATGCACAAGGACAGCACAGGCCACGTGGGCTTTGTCATCAAGAAGGGGAAGGTGGTCTCTGTGGTCAAAGGCAGCTCCGCGGCCCGCAACGGGCTCCTCACCAACCACTATGTCTGCGAGGTGAACGGGCAGAACGTCATTGGACTGAAGGTAGGTCGGGGGCCAGGGTCTCAGGGCTGGGAGACTGTGCAAGGTGGCGGGAAGGATCAGGTCTGCGAGGAGGCTGCTGGCCCTCTCTGAGCCTCAGTCTTCCTCATCCTAAGGTTGCTGGGAAGATTCAGTGAGACGATGTACATAGAGCCGGAGGCAGGGCACATAGTCAGTATTAGCCTGTCACTAGCAGAGTCTGTGGGTGGTGCCTGTGGTTAATGGGCTCGGCTGTTAACTGAAAGCTTGGAGGTTCAAATCTACCCAGAGATGCCTCAGGAGAAAGCCTGGTGAACTGCTTCAAAACAATCTGCCATGAAAACCTTATGGAGCACAGTTCTGCTCTGACCAGGTGGGGTCGCCCTGAGTTGGAGTCGACTCCACAGCAACTGATTTTACTGCCACTCACAGAGAGGCCCGAAGTGTGACAGGGAGGGGGAGCGATGTGCACGTAAGCACGTGGGCACCAGGTGAGGACACAGGTGCCCTGGTGGCAAGTGGCTGCTTTGAAGCCTCCCCACTCTGCATAGCACTTCCATTTGCACACTGAATCACATTCAAATAATAAGAATATTTTTAAAAATTGTTATTCATAAGTCTGTTTCTGAACTTTGTTCATTTTTCAAGGGGGTGTGCGGGGGAAGGGAATTTTTTCTTTATGATATAAGGAGTGAGTATTCTCTGTGCACATGGATGGGGGGTTGGGTGCCTTTGGGGTGACTCCTGCTGCCTCCTGGACCAGGGAGGGTAATGAGTCACGTGGCTTTCTGTTCCCCGAATGGGTAGACGTGGTTTCATCCTGACCTCACACCACTTAGACAGAGCACTGGTTCTCGAGCCCAGTGGTGCTTTAGACTTGAAAGCCCCTCAGCCTCCTGCAGAGGTGGCCTGGGCAATGGCAGCTCACAGCCTCCCCAAGAGGGCCATCGCCGTGCCATTCCTGTCCCACATGGTCTTGCCAGTCTCCCCCGCCCTCTGTGGAGACTGTTCTTATGGCCCAGGACCGTTGTGGTGATGCCTAAGATGACTCTGGCTGCCTCCTCTCCCATCCCCTGGGATCAAGCGTGACAATCCAAAGGATGCCCATCGTACTTAAGTAGAAGCAGCAATAACAATACGGGTAGTCCCCCGTTTATGACGTATTCAAGTTCCAAGGAACTGTGTTTACAGTTTTTAAATTTTAAATTTTTAATTTTTTTTGTACATCTTATTTTTAATAAGATGTACTATGCAATATGGCACATATGTACTACACAGTGTGTGGCAATGTGTAATTTGCCAATGTCATCATATCCATAAGTTTACATGTAATATTTCCAACCCCCAAAGACAAAGATCGTATTTATAAAGATACTGATAGTAAAAGACAATAGTAATGAAAACTGAAAGTATGAGGTATCCAACTGTGGTAGTTATGTTTGTGTGTCAGCTTGGCTGGGCCTTGTTGAGTGGCTGGACAGCTGGTGGTAGTTATTCCCCATGATGAGACTGGCGATCAGTTCCATGGTGGGATCTACCACAAGCAGCTGAGTGAGTAGCTGCCTTTGGGAATGTGGTCTGCTTCCTGGATATGAGGAGAAGCTTTGAGAATGGTCTCTAGCCTATGGCACGCTTGGACCCTGCATGTAGCCGTGTCATTGCTCAGCAGCCTGCTATGCTCTGCCGACCTTGGGACTTACAATGGACTCAAATTAATGGCCTGCTGTGTGGATTGCTAACATCAAGACTGTGCCTTTTTACTTGTCATCCTTGGGTTTGTCAGCCTCAGCAGCCAGCAGCTGTCTGAGTGAAGAAAAGCCTCTAGCTCCAGTGGGCCGGGAGCAGGAGGCAGAGCTGGACCCCAAGGTTGAGGGGCTTTCACCCAGCCCCTAGAGCCTGGCACTTTGAACTTGGACTTAAAGCCTCCAAATTGTGAGAGAATAAACTCCCATTTATTAAGGCCATCCCATTTGTGGTATATTCCTGTCAGAGCGGCACTAGGGAACCAGAACACCAACTGACATCAGAACAGACGTGGGGGGAGTTGTGGAACGGAGCCTTGTTGTGAGTGCTTGGATTTTCCTGATAAGGAGTGAAGTCATTCCTCTTTGATCTTCACAGTCTTTTTAAAATGTGCTGCAGATGCTGCTGTCCTCCCTGATGGCTCGAGGTGCTGACCACCGTGGCGCTGTGAGGCCCTCAGTGGCCAGACTCACCCCTTTACGGAACGGCTCCAGAGGGCTGTGCTTTTGGAGGCCCTGCTCTTTCCAAAGCTACCTGTCCCCTCTGTAGCCGTCACCTGTCCCATGTAGCCCATCTTCTCCCATTTATTTTGGAGCAACTAAGAAAATGCACAACCTAGGTAGATGCGTGTGGAAAGTAACGGTCACGAGGCTTTGAGAAAGAGGCCAAGGCTCTTCTGTGGCCACAGTTGTAGTGTTCAGACACTGACACACGTTGCTTAGAACCTTAGTTCCTGGTTCCTCCGTGATCGGAATGGTTTCTGCAGGCTTTGCTCTTGTTACTGCTCCCCAAGATGTGAGAGGAAGAGGTCCCCCGTGAGGCCTGGCTCAGGCCAGCTGGCTGACAGGGCCCGGAGGGGAGATGGGTGGGTGTGTTTCGTGTGTCCCTTGTGCTTTGGGGCCAGAACCTGAGTGTGACTGGGGCTGGGGAGCTGGGACAGAAGACGCAGGCCTCGTGAGGCCCAGGCACACTCTGGGGGAAGGGGAAGGAGAAGGAGAGTAACCTTTGGGAGGCCCTGTTATGTGGCAGCCCAGCCAAGGAGCCTCACAGCCAGCCTTCAAGGTGAAGGTGGGGAGTGGCCCAGAGGCTGATACTCATGCTCAGCCAACGCTTTTCCTGGGGTTCTGCCAGGGACCTTCCCCTGCAGGCTCCGGTCTGAGGCAGCCCTGCCCCTGCAGTCAGATGTCTGTCGGCTACCTCTAGCAGTAGCCACTGACCCTTGCACAGAATTGCCCCCAGGGTGACCACTCACTTACCTCCTTTCCAGGACAGAGAGACCACGGAGATCCTGGCCATGGCCGGGAATGTCATCACCCTGACCATTATCCCCGCTGTGATCTATGAGCACATGGTCAAAAAGTAAGACTGCACCCTCCCTGCCTTCCCTGCTCCCTCCCCACCTCCCGGGGCTAGGCCTGGCAGCCCTGACTGCTTCATGCAGGCCCAACCTGCCCTGACCTCCCTGACACCCTGTCCCATTCAAGGTGATTCGCAGCTTTGGGTGATTTGAAAGTCTTCAGAATTGAAGTGAAAGCCCGCATGGGGAGGCACAGTCCTCAGGGGAGAAGATATTGTCAGTTTTGACCTCTTTCACTGTTTCCACATCCAGGTTGTCCCCGACCCTGCTCCACCACACCATGGACCACTCCATCCCAGATGTCTGAGGCCACAGAAGGACTGCTTGGGTCTCTTGCTCCTTTCCCCACCTTCCTACAAGGAAGGGCAGGGTGCTGGGATGACAGGTTGCAGCTGGTTCACTGCCTGGGCTGGGAAGTGTGTTTTTTTTTAGGGGGGGGTTTGGAGAGGGGGGTTCCAGGCAGAGTGGACTGGCATGGCATAGGTTTGTCATTTACACACACACACAGGGCTCCTTGGAGGCTCAGAGTTCATAACTGGGTTAAGCCAGGGCAGGATCCACAGGCGCCAGATTTTCTGGGCTTATTGAAATGCTGGGCACACTTAGGCCCAGCCAAACACTTCTTAAAGTTACAGCTGGGTAGCTTTCAAGATGTGTGCCTCTACCAGGACAACAGTTACACGTTTTGAGAGAATGGAAATACATTCTTTGTGAGAATATCTCCTTTTCCCTTTACTTCATCTTTGTCCCAAACACACTGTAGAGTTCTACCTGCTGACCGTCTTCGGAATAAAGATTTAAGTAAACTCTTTCTTTAAAGGTCATCCTTGGTCCCATGACATGCCCAGGCTGATTCTCATTAGACTAAGGCCTTTCTACATGTTCTTGCTGAAAGCAGTGACTTGGCTGTGCCACAGTGAGATACTCTGCCAGTTGTATGCAGGGATGGATACAGTTGTGGGGACAGTTTGGGGTTTGCGGAGGCAGCAGGGCTGGTGGCAGAGTACAGCTTTGGAGCACTCCCCCCACCCCAATGACCTTGGTCAGTTTCTGCGTCTGCAAAATGGGAAGAAAAACCCACCTAGGTGGGTGTTAAAGGAGCTCTGGTGGCATAGTGGGTAAGGCATTTGGCTGCTAACCAGAAGGCTGGTGGTTCAAACTCACCAGGTGCTCCATGGGAGGAAGATGAGGCAGTCTACTTCCTTAACGATTTACTGCCTTGGAAACCCTAGGAGGGTCGCTGTCAGTCAGAATCCAGTCTATGGGAGAGGGTCTGGTTTTGGTTTGGTGGCAGGGTGTTGAAGAGGATGGACTTCGGCATCCTAAAGCACCCTGCAGGTCTGACCCTCAGTGGGCTGAGCCGAGGCAGGTCTGCATCACTTGTACAACCGCCACGGGCTGGGGGTGGGGCGAAGCTGCAGATCCGCCCAGATGCGCCTCAGAGCTGGAACCAGCATACAGCTGGGCACCGGGAGAGACCCTCGCGGCCGGGCTTTTCCTTTGTGGACGTCGGGAGGAAAGTCTGAGCTGCCCCCACCTCAGAAAAAAAGACACAGTATAAAGGAGAGAGGCCAAGGGTCTTGCTGTGTTTTCATGCTTTAATTCAGAGCTGTCTGCTGCAGGTACAACTCTGTCTGAACAAAAGGACAAAGGAGACAAGAGTGAAGGCCCCTCCCCACCCCACCCCCTTCCGGACCCCTGTGGATTCTCACTCAGGGGCCGGGTTAATGTAAGAGTGCACTGTGTCTCGTTTGTGTGGCCCCCGAGGCCAGAGGGGGTTCACAGTTCACCCGGCAGAGGCAGCCCAGTAGGCCTCTGCCCTAGAACCTTGTAGTCTGCCCTGCCCCTCCGCAAGGCGCTGCCAGGTGCCCCTGCGCTAATGGCAGCTGGGAAGGGTGTTTTGGTGAAAAGCTATGTTACTCCTGGGAAACATATGGGACGCCCTCCACTGGAGGCCAGCTGTGCAGATGGCTGGCTCTAGATGCCCTTTCCTGCCTGAGCCTGAGCCACTCTGGCCCCTAGTCCTAGAACTAAGAGGCCACTTCCAGCCGCTTGGCTCTAAGGGACCAACTCTAGGTCCTTTAATGAGCTCTGGCCAAAGGCTGAGGTGAGAGGGGAGGCCCCAAAGATTTCTGCTTCGGAAGCCAGGGCAGGAAGGAAAGGTCACAGCCTACAGGAGGAGATACTAAGCAGGAAGGAAAGGGGAGCTTTGGCAGGTGAGCACTCGGCACGCGGGCCAGCTCCTAGACCGGCCCACGGCCCCACACCCGGTGCCCTTGCATAGTCAGGGCTTAGCGCCTGAACCAGCAGGCCAGCCTCTGCCACGTGGAGCTGCCCGGGCAGCACGGGCTCCCCCTTTGCATAGATGCAGATACCGAGCACACACAGGGCAGGGCAGGGCGGGGCGGGGCCAGTGTGGTCCCAGGTCTGCTCCAGGGTTGGGGCAGTGAGCCACCTCCTCCAAGATGAAGAGAAGTCTCCTGAAGGCCTCACCAGACACCCCTAAAAGAGAAGGACCCTCAACACTGCGGGCTAGGGGGCTAGGGCCCCTGGTGACCCACACAGGCAGGGCCCCTGCTCCCCTGCCCAGGCCTCAGGCCCTTCACGAGTGGCTTCTCCAGTACAGGGACAGAGTGAACCACAGCCACAGCCCTGACCACATCCACTGAAACACAAGACACAATAGGAAAGGCCACAGGACAGCAAGACACAGACAGGAGCAGAGGGGCTACGCAGCTCAACGAAATTCCAGTGGTGAAAAATATATCGATTTTATGTTGTCAAATATAGTCATACATTTATTTTCGTGGCAAAGCTTTGAATATTTCTAACGAGACACTACGTAGCTCCATGAGTTCAGGGCACAGGAGGCTGGGTCGACGCCAGTCCCAGCTCGGCTTTGGATTGGGTTTTATCCACTGACCCTTCCAGGGTATGACCCTAGTGTCCCATGGGACAGCCCCAGCAAGCCCCAGCCATTGCCTAGGCCAGGGTGGAGGGCCTCCCCACAGAGGATGGCTGGTCGGAGGCCCTGACTGATGGGGGGCTTTGGAGGCACAAAGCGCGTGGCAGGTGAGGCGCTCTGCCCCGATGGCGGGGTGGGCACCCATTCCAGTGCATGCAGGTGCTCCCTCGGGTGGAAGGGCACAGAGGGCGAGGGCAGGGCCCAAGTCAGGCATCGCCTGGTGGAGCAGCGGGGGTAAGGGCAGATGATCTTGGCAGAAGACCAGAGTGACCTCCTGGGCCAGAGGGGTGAGTAAGACACAGGGTCCCACCAACCCACCCCAACTGGGGGGCTGCAACCTCTGAAAGTAGATGGGATGACCAGATGGGAGTGACCCCTAAGGACAGCGAGGAGCGGGCTTCTTAGAAAATAATAACGATAATGCACTTCAAGTGCCAGCAGCTTTGCTGAGGGACCCAGATGTGGTCCTGGAGTAGGAGGTGGTGACAAGGAATCGTCCTAGGCAGAGGGGGCTTAGGCAGGGAGCCACGCGGGGCTGCAGGGCTGACCCCCTGCCTGTCCCTGTTCCTAGGAATGCACCCTGCTCTGGCCTGGATAGAGATCACAGCTTCCACACCCCCTCTTGTGAGTTGTCTTGCCAGAATCCCGTCCCCACCCCCCGCCCCCTACCCGGAGACATATAGGCCTAAGATTTTGGAGCCCTCATCCAGAAAGCAAGCGACTGCCTCACCAGAAACCCTGGGATGGGGGAAACCCAAGCCCCAAAGAGAGTATAGTGCAAAGCAGAAGCTGGGTCTGGAGACCCCCAAGGCTTCCGGGGCTATGGCCTCTGGCTTTTCAAACAAGCTGAGGTCTCCTGAGAACAGCCTGCCTCCCCACTGCAATCTCAGAAGGCTAGAGGAGAACCGAGGCCTGGCCCTGTCTCCCCTCCTAATGCTGGCAGACCTTCCAGACTGGGACTGGGGCTTGGCTTAGGCAAGGTTCCTACCCCGGCCCTGCCTGGCTTATCTGGCCGCTCTCTGTGGGACACACCCAGAAGTGCCAGGAGGAAAATGGGTCCTGGGGAAGGCCTGGGATGAACAGACACACAAAGACCCACACTGTTCTCCACCCGCTCCTGCCCCAGCCGCCGCCGTCTTTGCTCCAGCCCATGGCCTTGACTCTGTGTCTGAATCTCAAAGTGGGGAGCAGGCTGGGGAGGCTGGAGCCCCAGGCCCAGCAGGTCCAGACCTTGCTCTGAGTCCTCGGGTCAGCTGCTTGCTCTGTGAGCCACAGCTCGCTCCACCTCAGGAGATAATACTGACCTAGGAGCCCAGGCTGAGGGCAAGGGTGACTTGGAGAGAAGGCCTGGGATGAGTGAAGAATGGGACAGACGGGGGGGGGGGGCACTCCATGGCAACTCCAGCCCAGCCTCCCCAGATAAATACAGCCAGAGACTTCCTGAGCAGGGCTGCGCATCCGAAGGGCCAGGTGGGCAGAGGGCCGGGCTGGGGGAACCTCACCACGTCCTCTCCCTGCAGCTGGTGCAGTCAGCATCCCCGCTCCCTGCCCTGTGGTCACCCTGCCCTTAACTCCTGGCTAAGTTTTGGGATTCCTGTCCGCAACCTCTACTCCGAGCCCCTGCCACTTGGTCTACATCCTGAAAAAAGAGTTCTAAACCCAAAACTAAATAAATAAGATGATAACCAGGGGCTGCATGTGAGACGGAGAACGGCCCCTCTACAATCAGTGGTCAGGTTGCGGGAGCCACTGGCCGGGCAGGGCCTCCTCAGAGCTGGGAGTCGGCCCCCGCCCCACTGGGCCCCGGCTGGCTCAGTGAGCGGCAGCTGATCCTGCGGATGGAGTGCAAGGCCACGGTGCAGCAGCCCCGCAGCAGGGAGCTGATGTTGTAGATGGGCTGGCCCTGGCGTCGCTGGGAGCGGCAGAGCCAGGCCACTGTGGGCACGGCTGGTACCACCACAGCCAGCAGATCCACAATGTAGTGGCGGCTCCAATAGCTCTTGGGCTCCTTCTCAGCTGCGGCTGCTGTCTCCTCCTCCTCCTCCTCCACAGGGCACGCCACACTCACCGACTGGCTGGGGTTGGGGTTGGCACCAGGTCGGTGTGGGACAGGCCCACAGGTGATGGGCTCTGGGGCCTCGAGCTCGTCCCCCACCGTCACCACCACCGCCGAGTTGGGGTCCCTGGGCCCTGAGGTGCAGGGGTCTGGCTCTAGGTGCCTATCCCCGGACTCAGGGACTGTCCCGCAGACCTGGGCATTGGTCACTTTCTCCAGGATGGTGTCCAGATCGGGCTGGTACTGCATGAAGTCCGTCTGGATGGCTCGCTCCTGCATGCAGCTG